GTCCTAATTGGGAGAATATAAACCACAGGACAACGATTTAACGGCCATTTAAGAATGTGTCTTTGGGATGAGAGATTGACCACAAGGAATTACATCCTGTAGGAGTGCTTCCCCCAAACCCCTTCTCCCACAAAAAAACGCGCGTTTGTATGTGTATTGTTTTGCGCAGAAAACCTGCTTGCTAGTAATCCTTCGTTCATTAAGGGCATCTATAACCTACAAACTCCCAAATCAACAAAAAACTTTGGTCACATTTTGCGAAACAAAGTGAGTGGAAATAAATTAGAATGTGTAAAATGACTTACCACAACTCTGGTTATAAGATTATTGGAAATTATTTCAGGACTTTGAACAGTTGGTTTGCCTAGAACAGCAGGAAAATACTGATATGCGTGAGCAAAATTATTATTCTTGTATTATTATAAACACTCAACAGCAAATAAATTATTCAAGTGCAAGCTGAATAATAAGCATCAACGTCTCTTATTTGACAGTTTATGAACAGTCGTATAACGCCGAGCATTAAATATAATGCGGTTAGGGAGAATGTTGTCTCTAAAGCAAAGTTCTGAAAAGGATAGTTTTTACGGTTTATAAATCAACGAGGATACGCTCTATTATACTAAAATGCATAATCGACCTTTCCATAGATCACTCTGAAAAATGACATTCATCATAAAATAGCAACAATGAAAGGTTTGACTTTAGAAACTTCATAGTTTCCCGCGAGAAACGTGTACATATCACGCGTGGAAAAAAATGGAGTTCGTAGTAAACTTGCATTCAGTTTTCGATAATAACTTGTTCGGTTTTAGTTAAAAAAAAGCGAAAAAAGTAGTTAAATAAAGCTAAATAGTGATATAAGTTATTGCATGTTAGGAAGTGCTTTCCGCTTTATTTTAACTTCAACTTGAGATTAACTGGCGCGAATAACTTTTTTTACCGGACATCGTTTTCCGTTAACGTAAACGGTAAAGTCTGGGTAATTGAATAATATAACTACGTCTGGAAAAAAGGTAGACTTTAAGAAAATTGTTCTCAAAATCAACTCCAAACAGCATTTTTCGATTAGGTAAAAAGAAATATTCCTCGTACAATCTTTTTGAGACTGAATGTTATATCCCCGATGATGTAGCAAAATGTCCTTTGATTAAGCCATGCAGCAACAAATTATGTAGTACAAAATATTTACGTTGTTATGCATGGCAACAATTACTGAACGTGATGACTGATTATTGGTCTCATATATATGGTCAAACGTTTAAACTGTATAAGCTCGCATTCAAATATTCATTGCGAGCAAATCCACAAAAAGTGGTTTTAGAACGTTATCTCTATTCTTTTCTATCTCCTCGCACAAAATAAATAAAATATTAATTGTTTGGTTCTTTGTCCCGCTTGCGTTTACATTTCGAGTGAGTTGTATTCATCATGACAACTGCGTGAAAATTTAAATTGTATCAGTCAAAATTTAAAATTTAATAGTGTTCCAATCAAAACAGTCTTTAAACAAAATCTCTTGATGTCTTAATTAATGAGAACCTAACCTTGAGTTACCATATCGACAAAATAACTAAAAAAGTAGCTTCTGGTATCGGCATTATTAAGCGTTTGAGGTCTGTTGTTTCATCAGAAACATTATAATTTATCTATCAAGCTCTAATACATCCTCACTTTGACTATTGTGACGTCGTATGGGGGAACTGTGGAAAGACCTTCTTAGCCAATGAACTCCAGAAACTACAAAACCGAGCAGCTCGAGTATTAACCTTTTCAAACTTTGACGCGGATGCAGGACATATAATGGAAATTTTAGGATGGGACAATCTAAATACGCAACGCCAAATTCAGAAAGCGTTGATGGTTTATAAATCTACACACGGTCTTACTCCTGAATATTTACATTCCAAATTTATAAACCGTAACGATATAATTAAATATTCACTCAGACTGAGGCTCTGTGAACAAGCTTGCTGTTTCAATACCCCGCACCATTTATCTTTATTAACAACTTTAGTTATAGTGGCGCGGTCTTGTGGAACAACCTACCTACTAATATCAGACAAGCAGAATCCCTAAATGAATTTGAAAAACGTTATATTCGATAAAAACGGCATTCATGGAAAACAGGTTCATTTGTATTTGTATTATATATTTTAGTGTGTATATAATTATAGTTTAATTGCATGTAGCTACAATTTGTAACCCTGATGAATCCACCGTGGATAAATAAAGTTCAGTTCAGTTCAGTCAGCCATTCAATGGGATGCATTTTAACCTTTGACAGTTATGTCAAAGATTGGGTTATCTTGAACACTTTATTTTGAATTTTCTTGACAATATACGGCAATAAAAATAATTTCATTCATTTCACTTGTCTCAAGTTCTGTATGTGAACAAATATTTAAACTCTGACACTGGCAGCTGCTCATAAATAAATATTACTGTAATGCAAAAATGCATGCATGTGTTTTAATTTATATATTATTTAACAAAAGCACCTCAAAACACCTAAATTATATTGATAAAAATAATACTTGTTTTATTTTATGACTAGCAATACATGAAATGCAGCAGCCCTCGCCATTTAAACCAAGAAAATAATATCCTGGGCCTAGATTAGCTATAACTATAAGTTTATATATTATGGAATGACTCAATGGCAAAGGGTCGATAGCATGCAAATATTTTCATCATTTGGTACAAAACATAGTCACAACATTGAAGATATCAATCGTTTGCTACCGGGATTTATAGACCCTACCAGCTTAGGTAATTGTCAAAATTTCAACAAAATCTTCAAAATCTTCAAAAGGCAGCCCAGACTTTGACTGCGCGTGTGATACTCTTGCGCTTGTTAAGGAAACCTCATATTTTTTAAAATATTAGCAAACGATTATTGGCGGTCGTGCGGGTAACCCATTGATCGACGCTGGTCTAGTCCAGCATGGATTAGGTGCATGGAGAAGATATACCAAGGCCTGGGTTAAGGCCCTGTTACATGGTGCAATTTTTTTGCAACTTCCAATGCAATTCTACTTCTAATATAAAAAATTATGTAAATTAATGAGGAGTCTTGCAGAGGAAAAGTGCATGAAGTGTAATAACCACAAAAGTTTCGTTGTTCCCAAATATACATCTCTGAAAATTAGAATTGATTGCAAGTTGCAAGAAAATCATCTTCAATGGAAGCGGTGGCGTTGCATGGTTTCGGACTTGGTATTACAACTGATCGTTTAGGTTGCTTTGGAAAAATTCATATAGAAGTATTAACAAATAGATAACATTGAAACTCTGTCTGTTAAGTTACAGGTACACGGTACGACGTCATTTGTGATATGAAAAAAAAAGTGGTGGCCACAAGCCACCGGGGCGAGTATTTTTATGTCTCAGAAGATTTCAGTTCCATGACAGTAGAGAGGCACTTGAAGTTTCTTAAGGCAGCGCTTAAGTTATGGCGTCATCAGACGAGCGGACTGTGGTTGATCTCAAGGGGAGAAAGCGATCTGTCATAAAGAATAGGATTTCTTTAAATTTCTTGAACTACATCTCGCTGTCAAAGATGTATAGGCTACCATATATTTCGATGCTCACTTCGGTCAAATGTACACCATATTCCGGTTTATTATATGCATGGGGTATTTCACTGAGAACTAAAACACTCGTAGAACTCATACGCCACTACATCCGGGGTACAGTGCGGATATTTTTCGCATGTAATTCACGCTGGGGGTGTCAAAAATCGTCATGGAAAATTTTGCATTTTATTATCCAGTTACATTATGCAGTTCAGTGTTACCATAGTGATATCGAAGAACTTTAGAATCGAACACGAACGAACACGCTTTCCGGAGATTTGACAAGTATTTTAACATTTTATTTTAACATTTTATTGGTGTTTTAATGCAAAGTATGTTTATATTTCGAACGATTGAGAGAACTTTCTATCCAGTGGTGCAGGGAGCGCCGGAGCGAGGCAAATTTCACAGCGAATTCCCCACACTGGATGGAAGTGGCAACCACGGCATGATATATACCAAACCTTTGAGTAAATTTTTCGTGTTTGGCAGCGGTTTCTTTATTGAACAAATTACCTACAAAGGGAACATGGCTCCAGAGGAAAAATTTCAAAAGCAATTAGCATTTCCCGAACTACAAATCGGTGAGACAGAGGAATTCATCACCACCGACGACATCGATGATGTAAAACATTCTGATGATCGGGCTGGACAGCTAATAAACCGACTACTAAAGGCAAGAGATGTGAGAAGGGAACACTTAATGGACAAATATACTAGTCTGGATAATATCAAAGATGGGAGCAAGAATCACCAGGTGACCAGGGTTTTTTTTGTATCTTTTCAGGACATTCGTACGAAGTTGAAAAAGAAGATGGAAAAAATCAATGATCAGGAAGTGGAGAGAAACTAAACAACGAGTTATACTTTCAGCAGCGACTCAATGATGAGCAAATGAAGTTCCAAGCAATAAACAAAGCAAAGAGAGGTGCAGTGGTACATGCAAAAACGACGTAAAGCTAGCATAGAAAGGGTCAAAGCAAGAGGTTCGGCGGAAGTGGTACTAGTAGCAGGAGCTGCCATAAACGACGATATCAATGCAAGACGGTGAAAAAAAGCCTGGTAAAAGACAGAGACGAAAACTTGAAAAGTGACCGAGTTTGGGAGAGGATCTTCTTACGAGCACCTGTTATTGGAGGCTTTTAAGAAACAAGAAAACCCGTCTACTGAAATGAGTAACAACAAAACCAGGAAGGCTTGTGTTGCTATGTTCACTTGTGCCAGCACGGACAAGCGGTACATCTATGTTATGTGATAGCTACATATGTATTAGGTGCATGTACTTCCTGTTATACTCACTTCCGATTACGTGTAAACTATATAAGTAGCTATAGTCTTAATAAAGTTGTTGTCTTGTTTTCGGAACGTAACATGGTGGCAGCGGTAAAGCGAACCATTAAATAATAATAAACTAGCAATATTATGACTGATAGTGAACATCAGGTCGCAGAGACGCCAGTTCCTTATGGAATACAGCCGCCAACTGGCTTAAACCTTGCAAGCAAAAATCGAAAAGAGAATTGGAAAATTTATAAACAAAGATGGAACGACTATGCAATTATTTCGCAACTACAAAGGCAGACAGAAGAATACCGGGTTGCCTTGTTTCTCTACTCGATTGGGCCCGATGCTGTAAAGATATACAACAGTTTTGATCTACCACCTGAAGATAAACGCAAGATATCGAAAATAATGGAAAAGTTCGATAGGTATGCTGTTGGCGAGACAAACGAAACATACGAAAGATTCATATTTACAAGGAAAAAGCAGAAGGAAGATGAAACTATTGATGAATACGTGGCAGAATTGCGAACACTTGCTCAGACATGTAATTTTTGTACATGTTTGTGTGATTCCCTGCTTAGAGATCGTGTTGTCTTGGGAATAAACGATGCAAACACTCGCAAGCGGTTACTAAGACAAGCAGATTTAACGCTGGCGAAGTGTATCGATATTTGTCGAAGCGATGAAGCGTCAACAACGCAGATAAAGCTCTTGGGTGAAGGGACAAAGCAGGAAGGTATACATAAAGTCATTGGGACGAAAAACAAGAACAAGTCACAAGGAAATAATGACGGATTTCAGCGAAAATCGAAGGAATTGTATCGCGAAAAAGCAGATCGTGAGCGAAGCGAAATCAAGGCTTGTAATTACTGTGGCGACAGACACAGACGTGGGCGTGAGTTTTGCAGAGCTTATGGTGAGATATACAATTTCTGTAAGAAGTCAAATCACTTTGAAAAACAATGCAAAATGAAGCTGAGAGCACATGCCGTGAAAGCAGAAGAATTTAGTGGGGCAGACTCTAGTGATTTAGAATATTTGGATAGTGTGACTGTTAAACCGGAGACGATCAGCGCCGTGGGCCGTGACCAGCCGAAAGAAATTTATGCAAAGATGCTCGTAAACAGTAAACCTGTGAAATTCCACATCGATTGTGGGGCGACGGTTAATGTTCTTCCGCTGAAACACGTCCAGAATAAAGAGAAAATCAAACCGACTGATCGAGTTCTGCAAATGTGGAATAAAAGTGAGCTTAAGCCAGGGGGGTCTTGTCGATTAACAATACAGAATCCAAAAGATAGTCGAAAGTATTCAGTCGAATTCATGATCGTTAAAGAGGATCTTACGCCATTACTGAGTGCCAGAGTTATTCAACAAATGGGGTTAGTAGAAATTCACATAGAAAAGTTCGAGCAAGTTGCGGGTATGGGAATAAAGGATACCCCGAAGGGAGCCAGAGACCTTGTGAAAGAATACGATGATGTGTTTACCGGAGAACTTGGGACTCTTTATGGTGAACAGCATTTGGAAGTTGATCCGTCTGTGACACCCACCGTCTCACCATCCCGTCGAGTACCATTCGCAGTGAAACCTAAACTAAAAGCAGAGCTTGACCGTTTGGCAGATCTTGGAGTCATTACTCTGGTAGATGAGCCCACTGATTGGGTAAGTAATTTGGTTATTGCAACGAAAGAGTCTGGTGATATTCGCCTTTGCATTGACCCTAAACAGCTCAACGGTGCTCTAAAGCGAGAAAGATACCCAATACCAGTAATTGATGATGTCTTGCCTGATTTGGCTAAGGCCAAAGTCTTCACTAAAGTTGATGCACGGAATGGCTATTGGCATGTCCAGCTTGATGAACCATCCAGCAGGCTGACAACGTTCGACACGCCCTTTGGTCGGTATAGATGGAAGCGTCTGCCCTTTGGTATCTGCGCGGCCTCCGAAATATTCCAAAAGAGACTGAATCAGGCGCTAGATCGATTGGATGGCCTACTGACGGTCCATGACGATATGGTCATTTATGGTGTTGGCGAAACCGAAGAGGAAGCAATTGTGGATCATAATACGAAGCTGGAAGGGTTTTTTCAACGCTGCAGAAAACCGGAATTAAGCTTAACAAGAAGAAATTGATGTTGCTCTGCAAGGAAATTCCATATCTTGGTCATTTAGTTACGAAAGATGGGCTAAAGCCAGACCCGGAGAAAGTGGAAGCGGTGTTGAAAATGCCAAGACCGGAAAACGTGAAAGCAGTCCGGAGATTTTGTGGGTTTGTGAACTATCTCTCGAAATTTATGCCACACCTAGCTGACGTCATGAAGCCCCTGCAACAGCTGACACACAAGGATGCGCAATGGCAATGGAACCATGAGCACGATGCAGCATTTGGAAAGTTGAAACTAATGATTTCGAATGCCCCAGTATTGAAGTTTTACCACCCAGAAGATGAGTTGACGGTGCAATGCGATGCCAGTGAGAGAGGGTTAGGAGCGACTTTGATGCAAAGAGGGCAGCCTATAGCATTGCAAGCCGGACACTGACCGATCCTGAAACGAGATATGCTCAGATTGAAAAAGAGATGTTGGCGGTCATATACGCAATGCAGAAGTTTGATCAATATGTGTACGGGCGATTTGTGAGAGTCGAAAGTGACCATAAACCATTGGAGTCGATTGTAAGGAAGCCATTACGAAGTGCACCAAAAAGATTGCAGGGCATGTTGTTGAAGATGCAAAAATACGAAGTAAACATCGTCTATAAGCCAGGAAAAGAGATGTATTTGGCTGACACGCTTAGCCGGGCTCCACTGAATTGTTCCAGGAACGTATACAAGAAGAATTTGAGAGAGTAAACGCTGTGAAGTCACTGCCGATGTCGCCCGAAAGGCTCGAAGCAATCCGGAAAGTGTCGAGGCTGATGAGGTTCTACAACAACTTAAGCTCATGATATTGCAAGGGTGGCCGGAGGAAAAGCAGAGTTTGCTAACGATATTAACGCCCTATTTCAGCTTCAGAGATGAGTTGTCTGTCTACGATGGACTAGTATTTAAAGGAGAGAGATTAATAATTCCAAAGGAATCAAAGAAACAAATGTTGGCAGAAATCCACAGTTCTCACATCGGCATCAATGGTTGTCTTAGAAGAGCAAGAGAGTGCATCTTCTGGCCAGGGATGACGGCCGAGATTAAAGCAAAAGTGGCGACATGTGAAACATGTCAAGAGTGTCCGATGAAGCAGCAGCAGAAGGAAACGTTAATGAACCATGAGTTAGCATACAGACCATGGGAAAAGGTCGCAGCTGATATTTTCACAGTAACTGGCAAGGACTATCTAATTTTCGTTGACTATTATTCCAACTTCTGGGAAATAAATCGATTACTTGATACGAAGGCGAGCACTTGCATAAGAAAGATAAAGAGTCACTTCGCACGAAATGGCATCCCTGACGTGTTAGTTAGTGACAATGGGCCCCAGTTCTCAGCTGAGAAGTTTGCAAAGTTTACCAAGGAATGGGGTATTGAGCACCGAACAAGCAGCCCTGGACATCAACAAGCAAATGGGAAAGCAGAAGCGGCAGTAAAGATGGCAAAGAGTCTCATACGTAAAGCAGAAGCATCCAAAGGGGATATATATTTGGCGATTTTAGCACAACGCAACACCCCGACTGAGGACATGGAATCTAGTCCGGCTCAACGGTTGCTCGGACGACGTTGTAAGACACTACTGCCGACCACCACCGCGTTATTGAAACCACAAGCGCTCAGTCGGGAGAATGTTCTGAAAGAAGGAAGAGCTAAGCAAGAAAAGCAGGCGCACTATTATAATAAAAGTGCGAAAGATCTCCCAACGTTGGAGGAAGGAGATGTGGTACGAATGAGACCATTCACAATGAACAAGAAGACTTGGGAAAAAGCAACGGTCGCCAGAAGGTTAGACGAACGGTCATATGAAGTAGAGACCCCAGCAATGAATTACCGTCGAAATCGAGTTGATCTTAAAAGAACGGACGAAACGTATATGACAGACGATGTGAATAATGAAGTTCTAAATCAAGAAAGAGAATCGATTGAGAAGTCTCGTCCAAACACAAGGAATGTAAAAAAGGCGAAGGAATCAGTTGAAGTATCGTCAACGGAAAAGACTGGTGGAGAAGATGTGTCAAATGAACAAAGACAGGGAAAGGAGGTCATGAGCAAGTCTGTAAATCCGCGACCTCCAGTTGAAGTCAGGTCAAGGCCAAAAAGAACTACGAGAGAACCGGCATATCTAAAAGATTATGATAGACGGTGAGAGAGGAAAAAAAATATGGTAATTGACATTTAACTCGAACTTGGGTTATATAACGGACAGTGTTTAGTTATTTAAACTTTTGTTGTAACGATCTTAATTAGTGATATGAATTTGTTTTAATCTTATGGGACCTTTATAGTTTATTTTATATTTACTGGACAGCCCTAACGGACTTTGAAGGAAAGGAGATGTTATGTGATAGCTACATATGTATTAGGTGCATGTACTTCCTGTTATACTCACTTCCGATTACGTGTAAACTATATAAGTAGCTAAAGTCTTAATAAAGTCGTTGTCTTGTTTTCGGAACGTAACAATCTAGACCTGTGCAAAGAGATGACAGCTAGTGATTTCAAGAAAACGTCGAAGAAGTTCGTTGCGAGAAGGGGATCTCCATGCAAGCTTGATCGTTAGTGATAACGCAAAAGCTTTCAAGGCAACGAGGAAGTGGCTGGCAACATTGGCCAACGATGATGATCTCATCAATTACATGGCGGTAAAATTAATGATATCGAGTGGAGATTCAACATGTCAAGTTCATCTCATCCCATCTTATGTGAAGTTTACGAAGCCCTATTCATAACGCCGAATATTTTAATATAAAGACAGGCTAATGTGTTTATGAAGAAAACGACGAGGAACCAGACGAAGGTGGGGAAATGCAAAAAAGTTTCAGTCTGTTTCTCTGCATCTACCTTATCTGACTACTGTATTTTCCCACTACAGAGAGAGTAAATATGAATTTTTTGAAACTCGTATGTTTCGGATAATTTCTTTGCAAGTTATTGTTTTTTTTGGAAGATAGCTTTCTATATGTCTTTTCTCTTGAGGTAACATTTTATTTGTATTTTTTGAGTGCATTCTGTTATTTGCGGGAACGTCAACAACCTGTACACTCAATTCTTTTGAGATATTGCTCCTTTCTTAGCAAATTTCAGTGAAACTTAAAAAACTAAAACTAACCATACCATTGCGTGGAACGATTCAAAAGTCGTTACCACCAATGATCGTTATGGACAAATGCGTTGTGAGGAAGCCTTGCATATTAATGCGAGTCTTTGTGTCCTAAATAGGGATGAGGGAAGCTATTTGCCAAAAGAATATTTACATCTGATTGCATGTTAGATGACGTCATTTTGAAAATATATATAATTAAGGAACTGAGTTTCAACATCAGATCACCCGTGATGAAGACACTAGATCGGAGTGTCGAAACGTTAAGTCGTGAAAGTGAATCTTTGTGTGGTGATTACTTTCATTTATTAAAACCAGAGTAGCGATAATTACGATGGATGTGTCCAATGTTTTACACAAATTTACGCATGTTTGGGAAAACAACGCAATTGCAATGGAATCTTCGATAAATCCGCCATGGTCGCATGCGTAAGCAACAAGAACGAACAGTAAGGCAGGACGAGGTTTGTAGCGTTTATCTCAGGAATTTATCGTTATTTATTTTTATTTTGTAACTTATTTTTTATCGTTATTACAGTGTTGACGATGTGTTGCTTTTTACCACCATTTATCGGGATAGTACACCTGGTATACAATTATTGCAATGACTCATTCCGACAGAACTGGTTCGTTGTTTATCAGAGCAAGTTTCATGGAATAAAATTGTGAGGAATTGTGAATGCTTTCATGGTCGGAATAAATCAAACATATGAAATACAGAAAAGCCGATGGAAAATTCTTTTTACAATTCTTCCCTGTGTTTGTTGTTGACGTCGTGTTAAAAGAATAGCACCACTTAATGACGTCGCGCAAAATTGGTATGGATAAGGGGAAAATTTCTGCTCAAGCAGCCGTGATGTGCCTAAAAAATAAGGTGGAGGGTTTGCCAGACGTAATTACTCCAATATAAGGATGAGGACCAATCGGGTGTCTTATAATTAACGCGCATTTTAAATATAACCGGAAACTTACAAGCATGTCTATTCGTACGTCTCAATACGGACGATCTTCGAAAATAAACGTGAATGTTTTATATGTAATGTGACAAACGAAGATATAGCTGTCATGAAAATTAGCTCATTCTAATGAACAACTTAAGATACACTTTTCTTCAGTTGGTTTATTTTCTTAACTTTGACCTCGGATTAGGCTAAGCGTAGGAGAAGAATCTCCTCTATGTAAATATACGTCATTTATTACACGATTTTAAATATTTATAAAAACCAACAAGTGCCGTGCTAGTGCATTGCACTTTTTATAAAGTAAACGTAAACCTTCTTTATCGTTCAACAACTTTATTTATTCTTTCCAAATTCACGTGGTCGTATCTTCATCGATGTTGATTTCAGAGAATAATAATGATCTTTCCAATGGAGCCAATTGATTCCATCAGCGTACGATGTGTGATTCCCATAATGATACAAACCATTTAAATTGGAATAATGACAGCCACGATACCACCAGGCTCTAAAACGGTTCTAAAACGCCGAATACCGTATTATTTTGTTGAGCCATGTAATTTTAATCCTCGTCGCCAATTTGTAGTGTATCTCTCGTGTATCCGAGAAGTGAGTAACGTAAAATAAGACCAGAATATATGTATAGTTTTAGTAGTTTCATAACAAAACAATTTACAAAATGGACGTTCCCCTCAAGGCCCTTTCTGCGCCTGCGTATGTCCTTGATCTCCACCAAGTACTTCATGCAATCAATATATACGTACGAAGTTGAAAAAGCAGATGGAAAAAATCAATGATCAGGAAGTGGAAGAGAAACTAAAGAACGAGTTATACATTCAGCAGCAACTCAATGATGAGTAGATGAAGTTCCAAACAATACAGTGGAAAGAAAAGGAAGCAGCTGCGATGAAACATAAGCAAAGAGAGGAGCAGGAGCAGTGGTACATGCAAAAACGACGTAAAGCTAGCATAGAGAGGGTCAAAGCAAGAGGTTCGGCGGAAGTGGTACTGGTAGCAGGAGGTGCCAGAAACGAAGATATCAATCTGACGGTGAAAGAAAGCCTGGTAAAAGACGGAGATGGGAATTTGAAAAGTGACCGAGTTTGGGAGAGGATCTTCTTACGAGCCCAGTTATTGGAGACTTTTAAGAAACAAGAAAACCCGTCCACTGAAATGAGTAAAAACAAAACCAGGAAGGCTTGTGTTGCTATATGTTCATTTGTGCCAGCACGGGAGTGGTACATCTAGACCTGTGCAAAGAGATGACAGCTAGTGAGTTCAAGAAAACTTTGAAGAAGTTCGTTACGAGAGGGGGATCTCTAAGCTTGATCGTTAGTGATAACACAAAAGCTTTCAAGGGAACGAGGAAGTGGCTGGCAACTTGGCCAACGATGATGATCTCATCAATTACTTGGCGGTAAATGATACCGAGTGGAAGCTCAACACGACAAATTCATCTTATCTCATCTCATCTCATCTCATCTCATCTCATCTCATCTCATCTCATGTGAAGTTTACGAAGCCTCATTCATATAACACCGAATATTTTTATATAAAGACAGGCTACTGTGTTTATGAAGGAAACGACGAGGAACCAGACGAAGGTGGGGAATGCAAAAAAGTTTCAATCTGTTTCTCTGCATCTACCTTATCTGACTACTGTATTTTCCCACTACAGAGAGAGTAAATACGAATTTTTCGCTGTGAGTGCAAGTACGCTTCAAACTTTTGCTTTGGCTTTCGAGTAAATTTTGTTTTTTACCTTGTAATTTTGATATAGTTTTAAGACACTTATAGTCCTTTATTTTTGCCAATCGTCCTAGCATGGGGCAGTTTTTTTTCTTCATGAAAAGTTATTGTATAAAAATTATAGATATTTTTGTATTTTGAAACTCGTATATTTCGGATAATGTCTTAATGCAAGTTATTGTTTTTTATGGAAGATAGCTTTCTATACGTCTTCCTCTTGAAACTGAGTTAAGGTAACATTTTATTTGTATTTTTTGAGTGCATTCTGTTATTTGCGAGAATGTCAACAACTCACACTCAATTCTCTTGAGATATTGCTCCTTTCTTAGCAAATTTAAGTGAAACTTAAAAAAACTAAAACTAACAATACCATTGGGTGGAACGATTCAAAAGTCATTACCACCAATGATCGTTATTGACAAAGGCGTTGTTTGGAAGCCTGGCATACTAATGCGAGTCTTTAGGGATGGCGCAAGCTATTTGCCAAAAGAATATTTACATCTGATTGATAGATGACGTCATTTTGAGAGTAAGAAAGGAACTGAGTTTCAACATCAGATCAGCCCTGATGAAGACACTAGACCGGAGTGCCGAAACGTTGGTCGTGAAAGTTAATCTTTGTGTGGTGATTACTTTCATTTATTAAAACCAGAGTAGCGATAATTACGATTGATGTGTCCAAATTTTTACACAAATTTACGCATGTTTGGGAAAACAACGCAATTGCAATGGAATCTTCGATAAATCCGCCATGGTCGTATGCGTCAGCAACAAAAACGAACCGTAAGGCAGGGTGAGGGTTGTAGCGTTTATCTCAGGAATTTACCGAGAAGAGAAACATTTTTTTATCGTTATTACAGTGTTGACAATGTGTTGCTTTTTACCACCATTTATCGGGATAGTACACCTGGTATACAATTATTGCAATGACTCATTCCGACAGAACTGGTTCGTTGTTTATCAGAGCAAGTTTCATGGAATAAAATTGTGAGGAATTGTGAATGCTTTCATGGTCGGAATAAATCAAACATATGAAATACAGAAAAGCCGATGGAAAATTCTTTTTACAATTCTTCCCAGTGATTGTTGTTGACGTCGTGTTAAAAGAATAGCACCACTTAATGACGTCGCGCAAAATTGGTATGGATAAGGGGAAAATTTCTGCTCAAGCAGCCGTGATGTGCCTAAAAAATAAGGTGGAGGGTTTGCCAGACGTAATTACTCCAATATAAGGATGAGGACTAATCGGGTGTCTTATAATTAACGCGCATTTCAAATATAACCGGAAACTTACAAGCACGTCTAATCGTACGTCTCAATACGGACGATCTTCGAAAATAAACGTGAATATTTTATATGTAATGTGACAAACGAAGATATAGCTGTCATGAAAATTAGCTCATTCTAATAAACAACTTAAAATACACTTTTATACAGTTAGTTTATTTTCTGAACTTTCACTTCGGATTAGGCTAAGCGTAGGAGAAGATTCTCCTCTATGTAAATATACGTCATTTATTACACGATTCTAAATATTTATAAAAACCAACAAGTGCCGTGTTAGTGCATTGCACTTTTTATAAAGTAAACGTAAACCTTCTTTATCGTTCAACAACTTTATTTATTCTTTCCAAATTCACGTGGTCGTATCTTCATCGACGTTGATTTCAGAGAATAATAATGATCTTTCCAATGGAGCCAATTGATTCCATCAGCGTACGATGTGTGATTGCCATAATGATACAAACCATTCAAATTGGAATAATGACAGCCACGATACCACCAGGCTCCTTTGAATGTCACCGCACAGTTAACGTTGATTTTCGCAATATCATTGTCAGAATCCTTGGTGCTGAAATCCATATTGTTATGATATGATAACGAGTCTCCCGCTGTACCTTAAAATTTAAAAATATATGCATGAATGGCCTCTTAAAATCAATAATGTTAATGGAGTGCAATTAATGCCAAAATCGTACGCAGTTAATATACTTTGCAGGAAACATATCTAGAGGGCAAATCTATTCATAACTTGCGCCTGGCGCCCATTACCATGGCAACAGACACGTTTCAAAATGGCCGACAAATAGGGCTTAATCGTGTTTAAATCGCAGCGATGTTTGGTGACCCCAATTTTTTTTTATTAGACGTTTACATTATAGATGCTTTATGTATAACAAAGTCTCAAAAGAATTCTGTAATGGGCAATTTTTCTATTTACAAAAACGTTATCTTGGCTTATCAAAAAAATTCGCCATGACAGAGTTTTTTTAAAACTTATTTACAGAAAAAGGCCTCATAGCGTAAAAGTTTAATGAAAAAAGATTCGGAGACACCGACGTCGGTCGTAATATAAACACGATTAAGCATGTAGGACGGCAACACGACGACGGCGCGGCTGAAACACCTCATTAAATAAATTCCATTGTAAAGAGTTGTAGTAAGTAACGTTCAAATATATTCAATACAACACGGCCGCGAGTATTGATCAATTTGAATATATATGCAAATCAGTTACAAACACTACTGGTTGTACAGTGTGTCCCCTAAAAAGTGACACTGTACAGGGTGAGTAAAAAAACTGACACCTTTGAAATTCAAATTAATATTAGCCGCGAACTTGGCTGGAATTTGACAATTCTCATGTCAGACTCATGTGTACAATCAACAGGACGTGGTTAATTAATGAGAAAGTGTTTAAACCAAATCGAACTAATTCAACGTGGCGCGTGTGCTAGAGAAACGATTTGATAAAACTTTTCTTTTTTATTGAAAGAGCTTAGAATGCATTTTGACCCCCAAGGGGAACAAACTTTATGTTTTAAGTTAAATAATGGGTTCAGTTATTTGATATGTTTAGTATACCAATGAGATATTTTAGGCAACTTCTGTAAAATTTCAGCCGCTATGCGGCTAATTTGAATTTTAAAAGTGTCAGTTTTTTTACTCACCCTGTATGCATCTGTTGATTTAGCGTAGCGCTCAGGCATACAAATTAAGACAATACGATATTATCTATAGTGTCACATTTTTTTGGGACACACTGTATTTTTCCGATACAACCACTAGTGTTTGTAATTGATTTGCATCTTTATGCAAAAACTATGGTATACACGGTGTGCATGTGACCCAGTACATTCCTGAATTAAATAATTCTGAATATTCTAACTAAATATTCCTGAATTTCACAATATTATAAATGGTATCAATGTAATGAGGTATAAAACTCTGAAAACATTTGTGAACAATTCTATACAGCCTAATGTTCCATTACATGCATTCCAGATAACCTCGAATTTCATAGTATTCTCTTGTACAGACATTTTTGAAATATAATTTATTCCTCAGTATTTTACATTTTACCGATTCTGCCGGCGTTTATTTCAAAACTGGCCTCGACTGTATGTTACCGAATATCCCTATAAAGTCCTGAGATTTTTGTTTTCATTTTGTTTTGTAATTTTTGAAAGTTTTGAAAATTCTCAAATTGGAGATGCTTTAAATTTCTGGGGTTAATCCGCGAAATACCAAAGTAGCCTCGTTTAAACTATATGGTTTAAAAATTATATCTATCGCGTAGTAGTTAACTCAGAAATGCATAACTCGGATTGGTCAGTTCTGCTTTTTTATACAACCGCCCCCAGATTTATAGTTCACTGCAAAGTTGATTGTAAAGAGAGCTGGACTCTCCTATAATTTCCTTGAAATAAGACTCTGTTTAATGCAACGTGCTTACCATGATAACCTCCAACATTCAACTTGTACTTTGTATTTTCGCTGCTGACTTTAAACGAATCATAATGAGCGTATGCAGTGTTTCCAGATGTATCTTCCATGTCGATGCGAAGTTCATTTTGTGAAATATTTGTTATCCTGTGTATTTTGTCAAGACCAAGCCAATATTCTCCGCTCAAGTTACCAAAACCTTCTTTGTAATCTTGCCATCCTCGGTAGAAGTCAACACTTCCATCAAGACGACGTTGAAATACAGTCCATCCTCCACCTGATGTTGTCATATCACAAAACACTTTGAAACTTCCCTTTCCGTCAGGATTAATTTTATATATTCCACTTTGTTGTATTCCTTTATGATAGATATCAGCGCAGTCTTTGACTAAATTGTTCAGAATAAGTTTAATTAAACGAATGAAGCGCATTTGTAGGCATCAAAGTGACCAAAGGCTTATTATCCACCTCTGGCCGTTGGGAGATATGTTTTATTTTCCCCAGTAACGTAATCGAGGTTTTGCAGTGTTTTAAGTCTTTCTATCATCAACACATACCTCCTTCATTTTCATCGGAAGTCTTTTTAAAACAACTTTCATTGTAACCCTGTAATGAAGAATGTTGTTTGCTATGCAGGATCATATAACGCTAAACCAACCAAGAAAATTGAACCTTGCTAAAGCAGTCAGGTTTTTATTTAAATGTCTTACAGTGAAAATCTTAAATAAGTGACGATTACAACAGAGATATGATTTTATACCACTGAATCATACCTTTTGTGGGTTAACAAGATAAACATAATCATAAGAGGAGTTCTTCTCCAGTAATCCCTCAGATGTATTGTAAACCACGTTGTGTAACATTTCACAATTTGAATCATTTTTTGAAGCCAATCTCTTCTTGAAGTTGATAGATCTACAACATATCTCAGTTGCACACTCCATTACGCAATCTATCCATTCAGAAACGGCTTTAGTCTTAACAACTGTTACATTCAGTCGGAATCCTAAAGCGTAAAGTGATTTGCTGTATGCAATCGTTCAAGCAATAAATTTTATACGGCGAACGTGAAACACATACGGCAAAGCTAAATTTGCTGCTTTTCTAAATATATCAGAAATAGCTTATTGCTTTCTAACATTCGGCTGAACATCGCACGTTTTATGTAGAAGGTTTGTAATTATTTTAACGAAATTGCCGCACACCTAAAGATAGTGGAGTTAAAACACAAACTTTGTTAACAGTTTGGCGTTTGCCATAAAAGCTAAAAGTCTCTAGAAACGTAAAGTAAGCCTAAAACGTTTCATATCATCACTGGTATCGAGCCAGTATGGTAGGTATGGTAGGTATGGTAGGTATGGTAGTTACGGTAGGTATGGTAGGTATGGCAGGAATGGTAGGTATGGTAGGTATGGTAAGTATGGTAGGTATGGTAGGTATGGTAGGTATGGTTGGTATGGTAGGTATGGTAGGTATGGTAGGTATGGTAGGTATGGTAGGTATGGTAGGTATAGTAGGTATGGCAGGTATGGTAGGTATGGTAGGTATGGTAAGTGTGGTAGGTATGGTAGGTATGGTTGGTATGGTAGGTATGGTGGGTATGGTAGGTATGGTAGGTATGGTAGGTATAGTAGGTATGGTAGGTATGGTAAGTATGGTAGGTATGGTAGGTAACTTACCTTTGGTAACCAACCTACATATGGTAAGTAGGTAGGTTATTCAACTGCTGAAGAATAGGTATTAATGTTACTAGACACTAATTTGCCGGGTGTCAAAAAGATGTGAAAAATAGGGTTGCTTATTTCTTGCCTCATTTGAGAGGCCATACCGCAGTTTTGCCACTTTCTCTCTTCTTAAGACTTTTCTTAAGATATTCAGTCTTAGGTTTGGCAAAAAATAATTTGATGGAAAAGCCTTGCAAATTAAAATTGAGTTGAGAGAAGGGGTCATTTGAAAAACATCAGTTAATCGATCGTTTAGGCGCTAAACTTAACACACCAATCACTTTCATATTTTATTTTTAAAAATGTTCTGTAAAAAGGACAATAATCAGAGCCGCGTATTATGCTAATAAATTGAGTACAGCTTAAACTGAGGGATTGTCAACGGATATAGAAAGAAGTTCAATTTTGCAAATTCTCGATTTCACTGACATATATTCTCGTGCAGTGCAGAGGGTTGTGACATTGCGATACATTTTCAGATATTCCCGTCCTTTGATTTTGTCCACACATCAGATACGTGGATAATGTGTGCAAAGAATTGATCTGTCCCACATTTTCATGAACGAATAGCTTTAAATTATACTTTGAAGATTACCAAAAATGTGATGAATTAATTTTCATTGTTAATTTCTTTCACTCAGAAGCTATAGCTGTAGAGAGAGGTCTGTTTATTTAAATGACGTGACTTTCCAGGATTCTGAGTATATGTTGATAGTAATTATATATTGTGTTTTACTTTACCTTCAAGAGTGAAATTGTAGCAAATGTTTACACTGGTTGCACTTGATATGGCATTTAAGACTGCAAGTGATATACATGGTGCATATAGGCATAAGAAATGTTTAATTTGCATGGTTCTTCAACTTTCAGTTGTTGCAATATGAAGAAATTTTCCTGTAATGAAAAGAAAAAAATAGGCCATGATTATTGAATGTAGATATGCATGGATTCTGTTCCATTCGTTCTGAATTTTTTTGCCTGGGAATAAAACGTAATTATAGAAAATATATTCGCTTGCTTAAATTGCGTGAAGCAGTATCTAATCTTGCATGGTAAATTGATTGAAATTCAGCACTTCAGTCTGTATATTCAGAATATCCGCTAGAGTTGAGATTTTCGCCTCATAGGGAGAATACCCCAACATATTTAAACAACTCAGCAATAGCAGATATTTTAGAACCTCCGTTTAGCAGAGATAAATCATTAATTGTGCGACACGATTGAGGCAAACTCGCAGTAAGTATTGCTCGTATCTACCTAATATGAACGAGTTTTGTGCTTAGCTTTTTGTACGTAACAATAGTGAACAGTGTTTATGATAGTTCATTGTGTTTTATTGCTATCTTCAAGTAACAGCAAAGCTTGTTCATTTGCGTACGCTGCGACCCCAAACTGTTAACTGACATTCATTTGCGTAAGCTGCTAGTTCGCTTTAATAATTTATTCAGAGTTTGTTTATTTTTCTCACGGCGGTTGCCTAGGCAACTGCAGTAAGTATTGCTCGCATGCGAACGACTTTATTAGATAAAAGTACATTTAGGTTTTACACTCTTAACTTCTAAACGGTAAATAATCTAAAGTCATAAGAAAAATGTCAATGCATCATCGAAGATAAGCTCGATTTCGTATGAAACGGCCGACCAATTTTATTTTAATGATATACTCTGAAAAATTTACTTTTCCCAAAAAATTGTAGTCGATTTCCTTTGAATTAATGTCAAGAAAGCTGATGGATATGTGTTGATATGATTTTTTACTGAATGGCATGCCAGCTGGTTTTGACGTTTAACTACGTTCTTTGTTAACTTAGGGCATCTATAAACTACAACTCACGAAACAATTGCCAATAGAAACAAATTTTAATGTTTAAAATGACTTACCACAACTGTGATCAAGATAGATTGGAAATTATTTGAGGACTTTATTTGAAACACTGAGGTTGTTTGTGTAGAAATCGGAGAAAGAGTAGCTAATACAGCTACATACATGTTAACAACAGCAAATAAATTATTTAAGTGAAAGCTGCATATTGAATACTGACGACCCTTATCATAGGCTAATGCGGGTACCAATTGCCATTTTATGTACATAATTATCCTAAGGCTAGCAACTCTCTCGGCGCTAAAAATATAATGCATACTGAATAGTACCATCGCTTGAAACAAAAATTACGCTAGTTTCTTGAAAAAAAACTAGATACAAAATACCTTGGATATATTTACTAAATTTAAATTTCATATTTAGACTTGAAAACAATTTAAAAATGCTTAAATTTTGCAGATAAAAAGTGTATTTTTATCGACATTTGGTTAAACAGAGGCGAGATGCAATTTATTTACTCGACAAACGTCATCATCGGAAAATCGTAGGCAAATTCTGATTCGCTGTTGAAAGCTCGGAAAATTACGAAGACATTTTTTCGTCATCGAGTTGGCCTTGTCGAGTAAATTGCATCCCTCCTCTGTTTGAAAAAATTTCGATAAAAATACACTTTTTATTTGCAAAATTTAAGCATTTTTATGTTGTTTTCAACTCTAAAAATGCCAGACAAATTTAGTAAATATATCCAAGGTGTTTTGTATCTAGTTTTTTTCTCAAGAAACTAGCGTAATTTTTGTGTTTCAAGCGATGGTATTAATGTATGCATCAGTTGTATTTTTTGTGAGAGAGTTGCCAGCCTTAAAATAATTATATACATACCAACTTTGTGTACAAATGTACATGTCATAGAAAAAATTGCTCGTCTGTAAGAACCTTAAACATATTGAAATTAAGACCTAAATAAATGAATTCAACTGAATATTTTATATCAACATGACTGTCGTTTCTCAGTGGCGTAGCCAGCCTGACGATTTAATCATGCGATGCAAATTTTATGTTATTATCATTATTTAATTCTTTAGAAATTCACTGTTTCACAGTCAATGAACACGAAAATATTAGCGTGGCATGACTAAATTGTCAGGCTGGCTACGGCATTGTCGTTTCTTTCAGCACGAAGATTCGTTCGCCCGTGCATTTCACAAAACACTCTCTGAATCATGTCTGGCTGCCGTTCAGTTTAAATTATGCTGGAGTCGTTGAGTTCCATGCAAATTTCTACAGTTTTGTTTAGATTAATTATTCAATTCAGGCAACTTTTGTCAAATTACAGCCGTTATGCGGCAAATTTAAATATGAAAGGCTCAGTGTTTTTACTCAGATGACACCATGTAATGGTTGCATGTGATCATGACCGATCAGACGATCAGAGACAGTGTTTTGCAGCCGACCCGCGAAGACAGTTCTTTGTAAGAGAATTCAAGCAACTCATGCTATATTATGAGACTATAAAAACATGTCATCGAGAGGTTTTGTAATCACTGTTGATTTTGGCAATAATATTATACCCTTGTGCTCGACGAATTGAGAAATGTACTGTGCGATAAGGTAAATAATTATCCAATGTACTTTAGTGTTAATTAAACTATACTCCGATAATACTATAAGCTTATAGAGACTATTGTGCGATGGTAAAACCGACACGGCTGTCTATATTTCACTGCAAGGGCATGAGCTTCGATGCTGCCGTTTTTACCATTAAATATTTTGTCCCTTACGTTGTCGGGTGAAATTAATGCTCATATTTTCCAATTTGAAACCTGTTCATATTCTCGTTTATAGTATTGTTTAATGGTATTATGCGGGATTTTCCTGTATTTCATCTAAGAAACCAATACCTTAAGCAAGTTCATAGGAGTTGAAATCCTTGACAGCATTGTATATATATTGTCAGCTAGCGTACGTAATACAGGGTGAATAAAAAAAATGACACCTTTGAAA